CATCTCATCTCATTGAATCAGATTGTATCATAAAGTATTCTGTGGTATCAGATCATTTCTCATCTCCTCAGATTTCATCCTGTCATTTCTTACTGTAGCCTGTTTCATGGTATAATACTGAATAGTGTCTTATCTGGTCTATTGTGTGGAAACAAATCATAGTAGATCATATCTCATCTTATCTCCTAAAATTTAATCTCGTTATATCTCAACTCATCTTGTCTCATATGTAAATAAATCATATCATGTCTCATATCGTCTCATCACACATAAATCATGTTCCACTCTATCTTGTATCTTCTCATCTTTGACGAAGCGTCTCCACTAAGTCCATCTGTCCTTTCTAAAGACTGTTTTGACCTGTTTGTTTGTCCCTCTATAAAAACTTTTGACAGTTTATTCTGTTATTTACGGTAACCTCTCTGCTGTCCCCGTCTCCAGATTTAGACGGTCGTCGTTTGTCTTCAGGTCGTCCTCAGTCCTGGACTCAGAGTGGGAGGTCACAGATGACACACTCATGTATGTGCAGAAGACAACAGCTGGGGGGTCAGAGAGGCCCACCAACAACAACTGTTCGCCCCGGGGTGAGGGGCCGAGGCTGGGTTAGAGACCCCCACTGAAGAGACTACAGGGTCCTTCAGAGTATTTTTAGACCCTCTGTGTGTTTGCAGGTCTCTTCAGGACTCTGTTTGAGCTCCAGGCTGTTTGACCTGGACTGGGACGGAGGGACCCTCCAGCCAAACCGGTTTAACTGCTGATCTGATCCACCAGCAGGTCTGATCAGACCCAGACCAGGACAGTTAGAGACCAGCCTGAGGAGATACCGGACCACCACCACCTCAGATAAGGAGAACATCCTGTCCTGCAGTCCGTGTACTGGTCCACAGTTTGTTTAGTTTGGGGTTTTATTCACAGACTGTGACCCCGGTTCTTCAGAGCTTCACTCAGACCCTCTAAACTGAACCTGGTCCTCTACAAACCTTCAGACCGAGTCCAGAATGAGGTTTTCTTCAGGAGACCATGAAGCAGGTCTGGAGATGTTTGGTCCTCCTGGTCCTCCTCCCTGATGGACTCTGCTGATGGGTTTATTGGAGATCAGATCTGCAGCTGCAGCGGCACTTAACGGCTCCGATTACTGCGGCGCTGAGTCAGCGTGTGATGAGCTCAGAGACACACACACACACACACACACACGCACGCACACACACACACACACACACACACACACACACACACACACACACACACACACACACACACACACACACACCGTGACCTGCAGAGGGTTGGACTGTGTGAGCTCAGGTGTGTGAGAGTCTGATCCGGGTCAGACCCTGACCTGGATCACTGTGTACCACACAGACTACAAACATCTTCATGAGCTCATTTGCATATTGGCGTTCAGACGGCGTTCAGACGGCGTTCGCCATCACGGAGCAGTCAGTGGTTTCCTGTTGACGCAGGTTTCAGGACAAAGAGAACAGGTGTGTGTGTGTGTGTGTGTGTGTGTGTGTGTGTGTGTGTGTGTGTGTGTGTGTACCAACATGTGAGGAGTCAGAGCTCAGACTGTCGTCACCTGGTCTCCTCTTCAGCGCCCCCTACAGGACGTGTTCATCTCTGTTCTGAGGAGGTAAATCATTAGATGGTTGTTTGTTCTGCACATGCTCAGATCTGCTGCTGCTGCGGTGACAGGAGCGGCGGGCAGGAATGTGAAGTATGAGCGGTATGAAGCAGCAGCAGCTGAACACGGAGGAGCCTGTTTGACCCCCAACATGACCCCGAAGACGACGGCGAAAACTTCCTGTTCAACCGTCATTGTGACGGAGAAAGTGACGCTTTAGTTTCTGAACCTTCAGGATCTGAGAGTCTGAACTCTGTCAGAGTCCGACTCTTCTGAAGGTCCTGGATCTGCAGGTTCAGAGTGTGAACAGATGGTCATGTGACGATCAGAGAAGAAATACAAAGACGCAACTTCTACCAGTTTCCACCGAATCCTGAACTTCTACGAAAAGGTCGTATCCGCCAATCGAAGGGAAACAAACAGGTCAAAACTCTCTTTTGGAAAGGACAACTGGACTTACTTGAGACGTTTCACCTAAGACGAAACGTCTCAAGTAAGTCCAGTTGTCCTTGTAACGTCAACGTCAACATCAACGTCAACGTCAACATCAACATCAACATCAACATTGTCAACGTCAACATCAACATCAACATTGTCAACGTCAACATCAACATCAACATCAACATCAACATCAACGTCAACATCAACATCAACATCAACGTCAACGTCAACGTCAACATCAACATCGTCAACGTCAATGTCAACGTCAACGTCAACGTCAACAGCTTCAGGAGGGAAGTCCAGACGGCCCTCACCCCAGCCACTCCCACCAGCTCCTCCTCCGGGGGATTCCCAGGCGCTCCCAGATCAGGAGAGAGATATAATCCCTCCACCTGGTCCTGGGCCGGCCACGAGGTCTCCTCTTACGGGAGGCGTCCAGAAGGCGTCCTAACCAGATGCCCGAGCCACCTCAGCTGACTCCTCTGGACGTGGAGGAGCAGCGGTTCTCCTCTGAGCGCCTCCCGAGTGTCCGAGCTCCTTACCCTATCTCTAAGGCTGAGCCCGGACACCCTGAGGAGGAAACCCATTTCAGCCGCTTGTATCTGCGATCTTGTTCTTTCAGTCATTACCCAAAGTTCATGACCACAGGTGAGGATCGGCACGTAGATCGACCGCTAAATCCAGAGCTGAGCTGTAAGACGGTTCGGAGAAGATCTCTGACTCTCTCTGAACACTCAGACCTTCTCCAACATCAGGATGTCCTCAGAGATCATCATCATAGTGATGAACGTTTGGTTCTGAAAATGAACTTTTATTGGATCTCTAAAAGAAACAACAATCCTCAAACACTCTTCTGTCCAAAGACGTCAGACCAGGAGGACTCTGAGGAGCTCCAGAGAAACCATCAAACCCTGAACTTCAGGTTCAGCTGCTGACCGTCTGTCATCGGTCAGAAAAGAGCAGCTGGAGCTAAAAACAGAGGAACTCTGCAGAGGAGATCAGAGACCTGGTCTGAGGTGTAATTTTCAATCATCTGAACCTGGTCTTCATCTTCAGAGGAGCAGACGGACGTCACATGTCTCTGTTGTCCCCTGACCGTGTCCATGTAAGGACAGACCTGCTGCTGGGATCCTCCTGTCTCCTCTGCATTGTTTGAATTCTGGAGGAAGAGTCCGGTCTGAGATAACCAGGAAGTGATGCAGAGGGTGGTGGGGGGTCTGAGGTGTTTGTCTTTGACCCGGTGTGAGGACGCTCAGACCTTTGACACGTTTCTGGACCAGCATGTTCAAGAAAACCTGTTTCTGTTTCTGTCAGAGACTCAGATCTGAACTCGGAGTTCCTGTCAGGATGTGATTTAGAAAACATCAGGAGTTCATGTTCGGACGGGTTCTGGAGAACCCTCAGAGGAAATGTCTCGGCCGTGTCGGGACAGCGTGTTTCAGGACCGGCGTGTCTCTGTGGTTTCCTGCAGATCCAGACTCTGGCTGAGCTGCAGCTGAACGCCGTCATCAGACAGGAATGTAACTCCAACACCAACGCCCCGAAATAACTCTGCTCCACCTCCGGGCGGCTGCAGGAGACACATGTCTGAAACAGCGAGGAGCGAGGGACAGACGGACGGACGGACGGGGTCATCGGGGGACAAAAACGTTAGAGGGAAAAACTTCAGAGAAAGAGGAACTTTAGGAAAAAGAGAGAAAACAGGATGAAGTCTGAGAGCGGAAAGAAAGTGTTTTTATGGAAACTAAAGTCCTGACTCTCCAAACATGTGCAGCAGCAGCAGCAGGAGGAGGACCAGACCTGGACCAGAGTCCCTGTAGTCTCAGGTTCAGGTTCCTGCTGGTACTCTGGGATCACTTCATAATATGCAAATCAGACAAGTTTGAAAAGAAAAAAACACAAAGTTCAGAGGAGGAGAGACGAAAAAGGTCGAGTCAACACAGGAAGTGAAGTTTAACCTGAAGTTACCCCGAGGTCACGGCGGGGCAGACGAGTTATTTAACCCGTCCAATCAGAGACGCTGCAGATCCAAGACCAGCTGACCTCTTTAGACCGGAGAAACAGTCGACTCACAGAAGGGTCACCAGCTTTTGTTTGACAGTTTTTTAATTGGTTTTTATTTTCAAGAATCTTTTTATTTTTCAAATTTAAGAATAAATCCTAAAAACTGACTGACATGTGATTTATGTTTTTATTATTATTATTATTTTTATTATTATTATTATTATTATTATTATTATCATTATCATTATTATTATTATTATTATTATTTTTTTTTTTGTGTGTGTGTGGGGGGGGGGGGGGTATAGTTCCTGTAATAGTCAGGAGACGATCACAGACTACGTTCACTCTGCAGGTTCTGATGCACAATTCATCCCCTGATTGATTATCTGAGGGTCGTGATTGGCTGAAGAGAAGAGCTCGTTAAGTTAATGATGTCACCTGTTATAGTCCAATCACAGCTCACACACCTGTTCTTGTTCTCCTCAGAGTCCCGAACCTTTGAACCTTCGACCCTCGACCTCTGACACTGAAGAAACCAAATAAAAAAACTGACCTTTCCCTCATGATCAGGTTTTATCTTTATTTGGTCATTTCCTGTTTCCTGTTTGCTTTTATTTTGAAATCACTAACCCCTCACTCTGTTTCTGATGACTTCCTGTCTGCCCCCCCCCCCCCGTCACCTCACCTGTTCCTCCTCCCCCTCATTACCTCACCATCATGTTTCTGCACTTTGACCTCAGTCTGTGATATTGACCTTGTAAGTTTTTGACCTTTGACCTTTAGCCTAGCCTTACCTGTGATCCTGCCCTCTTGTGTTTTTACCTGTCTGAACCTCACGTCTGTAATTGAGTCCAGGTCAAAGGTCACATGGATCCACTCTCTGACCTGAGTGCAGAGGTTTTCCTGTGACACCTCGACCTCACCTGTGCTCTGACCTCACCTGTGCTCTGACCTCACCTGTTCTCTGACCTGTTCTCTGACCTCACCTGTTCTCTGACCTCACCTGTACTCTGACCTCACCTGTGCTATGACCTCACCTGTTCTCTGACCTCACCTGTGCTCTCTGACCTGTGCTCTGACCTCACCTGTTCTCTGACCTCACCTGTGCTCTCTGACCTGTACTCTGACCTCACCTGTTCTCTGACCTCACCTGTGCTCTGACCTCACCTGTGCTCTGACCTCACCTGTGCTCTCTGACCTCACCTGTTCTCTGACCTCACCTGTGCTCTGACCTCACCTGTACTCCCACCTGTCCTGATAACCCCGCAGACGGAGCTGTGAACACACCTGTGTGACGAGGAGCCGCTCAGTTGCGCCCGTCTCTGATGATATTAAACATTTGATAATATGCAAATGAGGGGCGGAGCTACGTCAGAAGGGAGTCGAACCTGAGCGGCAGGATTCATGAGAGAGAGAGAGAGAGAGAGAGAGAGAGAGAGAGAGAGCTCACCTGGAGGCTCACCTGGAGGAGGATCAGGACTCATTTAGAGACTGTAGATCAGGTGAACCGGACTGAACTTTGGGTCCTGACGTCTGTAAACCGGGTCTCCTTAAAGACCTGCAGGTGTCCTCAGCAGAGGGGTGCGAAAACAGTCTGAGCGCATTTCCTGTCTGGACTGATCAGCTGATTGATCAGCTGATTGATCACAAATATTCAGATTAGTCTCAGAACCATGAGAACCTTCTTCAATCCAGACCAGAACCAGAACTTTCACTTCAGGGACCTGAGCCCGGTTCATGACAGAGACATCCCTCCTGCTCGTTTTTTTCCCTCCAGCTAAGCCCCGCCCACCGAAGACCACCTGACTGTCTACTTACACTAAAAGACACTCAGAGCTTTCCTCAGAGACGGAACAAAAACCCTCCTGACCCGGGCTCCTGATTGACCTTTAATAACCCCATCCTCCCCCACCTCCACTAGGGGGGGATATGGGTCTTTTCAGCGGCGCTGTTTCCGACCCCGTACAACCGTCAACAACAACAGCAGGTCAAACTCACTCATGACCTTCACTGTCTGGTCTTAATCGGAATAAGGCGATAATTCGGCTTCCTCGAGTGTCATGGAAACGGACTGAGTGAAGACCATCAGAGTCCAGATTTACGGACTTCCCTGAACCCATCAGAGACCATGATCTGACCTTCATTCAACAAACAAACAAACACACGTGTTCAAAATCGTTTTCTTCTCCGTCTCTGACAGACGCCGGCGCCCCCTGGCTGCTGACCTGCTAACCCTGAATCTGGTCTATCAGCTCCACAGTAGTCCTGTAGCTCCACATGAGGGGCCGACCCCCCCGCTGGTCTAGACCCGCCTCCTCAGACCTTGAACTGGGCCGAGGAGGAGAACCAGGAGGAGGACTGATGATGATGATGATGACGGGAGGAGGAGGTCAGGGCTCGGCAGGAGGTCACGGCAGGAGACACAGTGTGGGAACACAACACACACACACACACACACACACACACACACACACACACACACACACACACACACACACACAGAGTCAGTCGTGTGAAGTCTGCTGCGTTCAGGTGTTGTTGGTCGTTTTACGTGTCTGAGTGTTTCTTCAGTCGCCGCTCTCGCCCTCCTGCCGCTCAGACTGTCGGCCATGACTCTGGATCACATGATACAACAACAACAAGTATCTGGAGGTCTTCTTGATTGACCTGAACCTCTGCAGGGCCATCATCCTGGACCCTGCTGGTCTCCTTCACTGATGCTGAGACCTGCAGGGTCCAGGATGATGGACCTGTTCTCTGTGGACCTGGTCTCAAACCTGCAGCCTCACTGCTCCATCTGAGGACTCTGAGGACGGTCTGACTTCAGGTCCACAAATCAGCTGTTAACTGACCCCTGACCTCTGTGTGTGTGTGTGTGTGTGTGTGTGTGTGTGTGTGTGTGTGTTTTGGAGGTGTGAAGCTGCAGGACGACAGTGTGAGAACTTCATGCCCGACCTGCTCCTCATCAGCAGGGGGGTCAGAGGTCACACTGCCGCGTTTTCATTTATCACCCTCTGTAATGACACACACACACACACACACACACATACACACACACACACACACACACATACACACACACACACACACACACTCTTCAGGTGTTTGAATCAACAGTCTGACTGAAGATCTTCTCACACTGATCATGATGAGTGTAAAGGTCATCACTGTGTGTGTGTGTGTGTGTGTATGTGTGTGTGTGCGTGTGTGTGTGTGTACATTAAAATATACAATAGACATTACTGATCGTTGTCAGGATGCATGAAAACATGAAATCAGAGCAGCGTTGGTTCCCTGCCTGGACTAGCTCCCAGGACTTACTCCATATATAAGAACAGTTAGAGGGACTCATGGGTGGACCTGGTTCCTCCTGGCTCAGTCATAGTGTTACAGTAGACCTCTGAGACCCTGCCTGTAGGGGGCGCTCACACACATCCAGGCTCAGGTCAATCCAGCAGCTGCGGCGTCTGAAACTCTCATTAACAGCAAAACGACCCACAATGCACTGCTCCTCTGACTGGGAGAGTTCATGCACCAGTCAGATTCACACCTCTGCACGCCATAAACACACACACACACACACACACACACACACACACACACACACACACACACACACACACACAGACTTGTTGAATTCATTATCTCTCTTTTATTATTAATAATCTCTCTTCAGTCCAGTTCCTGTTGTTTTTTGGTTCCTGGTTTTCTTTGGTTCCTGGTCTTTCATGGTCCCCGGTCTCCTGGAGTTGCTCTGCAGTCTGACTCTCAGCTGTTCGGGTGTTACAGTCTGACACGTCTCACCCAGACTCCCCCCTCAGAGGGGAGACGACCTGACCTCCCGGGAAAACTGACCCTGAGAAAAAACAGCCGCCAGAGCGCCGACTAACGACTGAAACACGGGTCTGAAGATTCCCGACTCGGGTCAGAACTTTAAAAGACTCAATTAAGTCAAAACATCAACAACAGCACCTAACTTCACCAACAGGACATATAGGGTCACAGACATAGTACTATATTCAGAGTTGTTCTAACTCCTAAGAAAACATAAACTTAAGTGGGGGCGTTTCTCCACCTCTGTAGTCTATAAGCTGGGCCAATAAACTTCTACTGTAGTAAAATGAAAAGGTAAAGGTGTTTTTATTGAGCCGAATTATCAATAAAATCATGATTTTGTTAACAGGTATGGATTTATGTGCTGTCGAGTTAATATATGTGAACAAGAGCACAGTAAAGTTAAATCAGCTAATTTTCCAATGAGGTTCTGTTACTGAACGGAACTACACCATGTTCTACTCAGGTTAGTACATATAGGGTCACAGACATAGTACTAGACACCAAACATCTTTTTAACTTTGACTCATTTCTTTAGCAAAGAGACTAAACACAACTCACCTACTCTCTTCCAGCAGACGCTTGTTTGTAGTGAGACCTCAGGTCAGTCCATTACGGACTACAGCGGGGTGACGCAGCTCAAGGAAGAACATTTATGATAATTTCTTCATGGAAATACAATCAGACCGAGACGCTAAGACAGAAGAACTACAGCGTCTGCAGTGATTATTACAATTATTATTGATTACTGTAGTCTGTTATGGACCGGCCTGAGGTCTTGACACAAACAAGCGTCTGCTGGAAGAGAGTAGGTGAGTTGTGTTTCGTCTTATTTTACGCCGGAATATCCCTTTAACGTCCCCTCAGCTCCTCTGTCGTTCCTGATGATGGAGGGATGTTAAAGTTTGATGACCGTTGACCTGTTTCAGCTCGTTAACAGACTCTTTAGTGGACTCGTTAACATCTTCAGTATTAATAATTTATTGATCTGATGATCAATGATGTCATCTCAGGTGGTGTTACCTGTCAAAGGTCACTGAAGGTCATCACTCCTTCACTAAAGTCCATCTCTCCGTGTTGAGTTCACTGTCACGGCGCTCTGCGTGTATTTTCAGCACTTTGACCTCCTCTGACGTCTCCGCTCCGGATTCCTGCTCCTGTTTTTTAAGCGACCGACTCCGGGTCTTCTGGGAATCACTAACCACCTCCCACAATGCACCTCTGCCCAGCGGCTCACCACCACAGAAGAAGAAGAAGAAGGTCAGCGGGCAGGAACACGGAGCGACTCGACCACAGACGTCACAGCAGCGCTCGCAGTCCACACACACACACACACGCACACACACACACACACACACACATGCACGCACACACACACACACACACACATTTACTGGAACCGTCAAAATAAAATCTGACATTTTCACGTCATCATGAAAACTGAAACCTCTCATCAGATCTGAGACATCTATGATCTTAAAGGTGTATTACACTCTTTTTTAAAGGACATCTATGATCTTAAAGGTGTATTACACTCTTTTTTAAAGGACATCTATGATCTTAAAGGTGTATTACACTCTTTTTTTCAGACTCATGAAGGTGAATTTTTTGTTTAATTTAAAGTCTGGTCAGCAGCTCCAACAATAATCCTATTTTCAGATCAATATAAAGATAAATACACCGTTACCTTAGAAACCACCCCTGTTATTTCAGGTCTCTGTTTGTACATGTATGTGAGGGTTGTGGGTTCGATTCCCCCTCCTCGTATCCCCGTCTCTGACCTCAGATTGAAGCTCAGCAGGTGTGAAGACGCGACACCTCGGACTGTGAGAACATCTCACCTCACTGATCAGACACTCAGGGGTCAAAGGTCAACCTGGGAGTCCTGCTCTGCGACCTCTGAGGAGGACAGACGCTCGCAGAGGCAGAGAGACGTCAGCTGTCAAAGCGAGGAGAGCGGGGGGGGGGGGGGGGCCCAGAGAGAGGAGACGGTTTCTGGGTCACCAGAGGCTGGTCCTCCAAAACCAAACAGGACTCTGTTGTGGTTTAGACTTTTACTTCAGCTGGAAAGCTCCTTCAAAATAAAAGTCCAAAATCCTGAGAGAGACCGGACTGTCATTAAAGGGGGGGGGGGTCAGGAATCAGAGAGTGAGGAGATACAGAGAGGAGAAGGAAGGCCTCACACCAATACTAACAATACTAACAATACTGTTAATACTAAGAATAATAATATTGACAATACTGTTAATACTAGTATTACTACCAATACGAATAATACTATTACTAATACTACCAATACTTCGAATACTAGCAATACTTGCAATACTATAAGTATATTAACCCCTCTTGAACTGAGCGGTCGCTGCAGGTCTGGTCTCTCTGCATTATCTGTTATACTTATTCTTTATACTACCAATACTAGTACTATTGATACTACTATTACTATTTATACTAGCAATACTATTATTACTACTCATACTAATAATACTAGTATGACTACTACTACTCCTACTACTACTACTCGTACTAATAATACTACCTCTACTCCTGCCTGTTCCCACCTGAGGTCAAACACAGATGATGACTAAAGCTGCTCTGAACCAAAGAATCACTGTCTCTCATTCATCCCACACCGTTGTCATGACAACAAGCATCCCGCTGCCCGCTCTGTGAGTAATAATGAGTTCACACACCCACACACACACACACACACACACACACACACACACACACACACTCTGTTCTGTTTGTAGCAGCAGGATGGATCATGAGGATGGATCATGGTTCCTGAGGATGAGGAGGATCTTCACAGGGGGGGCAGACCTGACCCTGATCGGGGTCGACGTGGGGTCTCATGGCGTGGTCTCATGGCGTGGTCTCACGGTGGGCATCACGCCGACAGAGAAGTGCGTCTGTGTGTGAAAAACGTGCCGAAGGAGGACGAGCCGTGACAGCGAGGAAACTGCGAGTGTGTCATCTGTGTGCAGACGGACGGACGGAGCGGCGGTGGTGGGAGGTCTGTGGGTTCAGGGTGGAGGTGACGGTTTCTGTTTTAGAAACCACCACAGAGGAAGAAGAAGATGTGAGCACTTCCTGTGAAGGCGATGTGTCTCTGTTCGTCTGCAGCTTCACTTTATTTAGAACAGGTGGAACTCCTCCACGCTGCTTTCCACCACACAGTTCCAGCTCCTTCAGATGTTCTCTCCATCTTTGGTCACAGACAGGAACACTCAGGTTTGAGTTTGAACTTCAGCAGACATCTCAGGTTCTTCAGCTGTGGACCCTCTCTGACTGTGAAGGTCTTTTGCTTTCTGAACTTTGACCTTTAACAGCATGTTGGTCAGATGTCCTCATGGTCTCCTCTGCAGACGATCTCTGTCAAACAATCAGGAGTGCTCTCCCTGCATCTCCACAGGTCCTCCAAAGGTCTCCAGTCAGATCTGAGCGTAGTCACAGACCTGCTAGGAGAGAGGACTGAGGGGAGAGGAGATGGACACGCCCCCATATCAAGTACCGCTCACTGATGGAGAGTAAAGGTGCGTTCCAGTTGTACTTGGAAGTTGGAAATTCATCTGGAACGTCCGCCTGAAGTCGGATTTCTCACAAGAACCCGCAGATTCATGTCCAATCTCACGATAACGAGTTGTCTCTCTAAAGACAGACACATAGACATATAAGCAGTAGATTGTGTCCTTCCAGAGGAGGAAATCTACTTCTAGACTTCTAGAATCAGCATCTCCTCATCCATGGTGTCATCGGGGTGAAATGACGTCTAAAAACCTTTCACTTGTTCGTCTCCGCCCGTTTGCATGGTGTGAAATACGATCCTCCTGAAACACGGAGTGTTTTATTTTGAAAAGAAGCCGGATGTTTTATTTTGTGTCTGTGCCCGACTTCCTTTCCAGCACGGGTTAATCTGTGCTGAATTTATCCGCCATGCTCCGGCGTCCAGAAAAAATAGAACTCTTGTGATCAGCTGAGGAGTCCGGCGATCCGCAGAGGAACGGAAAGAAGTCGGTGTAAATTGACACGTTAACTTGAATGGTTACGATCAGCTACGATCGGAGGATACGACTTCAGTTGGCGACTGAAGCTCTGAGGATTTTCAGGACGCTAAGACAAACAAACGACTTAAATATAATCATGTAAGTTTTTCTCACCTGCTCAGTCAGAGACTCGTTTGTGTTTTAGTTATAATTATTATTTAGTCTGACTCTGTTATGGTCCTGGTTATTCATGGACAAATTTAGATAAACTGTATAAATTCTCATTCTGCTGTCAGATAGAGAGAAAAACCTGTAAAGATCATCAATAATCGGGTTTGAAATATCAATCATTTCATCACAACAACCTGTGTGTGTGTGTGTGTGTGTGTGTGTGTGAGCAATAAAAACATACATCTGATAAGAAGGGGGAGGAGGGGGGAGTCACAATAGTGGTTTTCCTGCAGGGGGCGGGGCTCCAACAGGCAGAGGAGACATGACCATATAAGGACAGAGGAGGAGGAAGTGGGGATTTCTCTTCAGAGTCATGTGACTTCCAGTTACAGGATGCTCTCAGCCTGATACACACACACACACACACACACACACACACACACACACACACTCAGCTGTTTGTTTTTGTTTTATTTAATCGTTTTGTTTCCTGCTCCTTTAAAGTTTGTGATTTTCTTTCTTAGGTTTTTATTTTCCTCCTTGTTTTCTTCTCCTTCTTCTCTCTGTTCCCTCAGATCTGCAGAGATGTTCAGTGTTTACGTTTAATCCTGTGACCTCTGACCTCTGAGACGCTCTGATGAAACGCAGAAACATCACGAGCGAGAAAACGAAACTGAGACTCAGCTGACTCATCATCCAGACCGCCGATCCGTCCGTCTTTAACCTCCATGTCCTGCAGCTGCTGCTCCTTCTTAGAAAGAGCCGGACACACACACACACACACACACACACACACACACACACACACACACACTCTCAGGGTTCCTAGAAGGTGTGTGTGTGTGTGTGTGTGTGTGTGTGTATTAGTGTGTGTCTGCAGAGCTTCAGCTGCTCTCAGTTTACTGTTTCAGTCTCGTCTAAATAAACTTTAATCTGCTGCCTGTTAAACCGTCTCTGTAAACCCTGATCCTGGACCAGCAGGGGGTCCAAGACCTGTAGCCCAGTGGTTCTCAACTGGTGGGTCCCGACCCAAAAGTGGGTCACAGACATGTTCTGGTTGGGTCACGAACAGCTGATCAAAACAGTAAATATTTCATGCACATCTGATGTTTTACATGTCTTTTATTTTGAAAGGCCAGTGTTATACATGTCTTTTATTTTGAAAGGCCTGTGTTTTACATGTCTTTTATTTTGAAAGGCCTGTGTTATACATGTCTTTTATTTTGAAAGGCCTGTGTTTGACATGTCTTTTATTTTGAAAGGCCAGTGTTTGACATGTCTTTTATTTTGAAAGGCCTGTGTTATACATGTCTTTTATTTTGAAAGGCCCGTGTTTGACATGTCTTTTATTTTGAAAGGCCAGTGTTTGACATGTCGTTTATTTTGAAAGGCCTGTGTTTGACATGTCTTTTATTTTGAAAGGCCTGTGTTTGACGTGTCTTTTATTTTGAAAGGCCTGTGTTTGACATGTCTTTTATTTTGAAAGGCCTGTGTTTGACATGTCTTTTATTTTGAAAGGCCTGTGTTTGACATGTCTTTTATTTTGAAAGGCCAGTGTTTTACATGTCTTTTATTTTGAAAGGCCTGTGTTTGACATGTCGTTTATTTTGAAAGGCCTGTGTTTTACATGTCTTTTATTTTGAAAGGCCTGTGTTTGACATGTCTTTTATTTTGAAAGGCCTGTGTTTGACATGTCGTTTATTTTGAAAGGCCAGTGTTATACATGTCGTTTATTTTGAAAGGCCTGTGTTTGACATGTCTTTTATTTTGAAAGGCCTGTGTTTGACATGTCGTTTATTTTGAAAGGCCAGTGTTTGACATGTCGTTTATTTTGAAAGGCCTGTGTAATGTCGTGCTCCTCCTCAGGTTCTTATTTTGAAAGGCCTGTGTTTGACATGTCTTTTATTTTGAAAGGCCTGTGTTTGACATGTCTTTTATTTTGAAAGGCCTGTGTTTGACATGTCTTTTATTTTGAAAGGCCAGTGTTTTACATGTCTTTTATTTTGAAAGGCCTGTGTTTGACATGTCGTTTATTTTGAAAGGCCTGTGTTTTACATGTCTTTTATTTTGAAAGGCCTGTGTTTGACATGTCTTTTATTTTGAAAGGCCTGTGTTTGACATGTCGTTTATTTTGAAAGGCCAGTGTTATACATGTCGTTTATTTTGAAAGGCCTGTGTTTGACATGTCTTTTATTTTGAAAGGCCTGTGTTTGACATGTCGTTTATTTTGAAAGGCCTGTGTTTGACATGTCTTTTATTTTGAAAGGCCTGTGTAATGTCGTGCTCCTCCTCAGGTTCTTATTTTGAAAGGCCTGTGTTTGACATGTCTTTTATTTTGAAAGGCCTGTGTTTGACATGTCTTTTATTTTGAAAGGCCTGTGTTTGACATGTCTTTTATTTTGAAAGGCCAGTGTTTTACATGTCTTTTATTTTGAAAGGGCTGTGTTTAACATGTCGTTTATTTTGAAAGGCCTGTGTTTGACATGTCTTTTATTTTGAAAGGCCTGTGTTTGACATGTCTTTTATTTTGAAAGGCCTGTGTTTGACATGTCTTTTATTTTGAAAGGCCTGTGTAATGTCGTGCTCCTCCTCAGGTTTTTATTTTGAAAGGCCTGTGTAATGTCGTGCTCCTCCTCAGGTTCTTATTTTGAAAGGCCTAATTTCAGTAAAATTACATTTTCTTTGATTTGATATTTTCTGTGTTTGTAACGTCAGTCGTCGTCGTCCTCTAAAATACACTTTACTCAATAAAACGGTGTATTTATGTCGAGGATTAGAGTCTTTAAAGTTTATTTTTAATATAAAGAATAAATGTTCGTGGTTTGAATTCTATGAGAGTGGGTCAGGACTGAAGGATCATGGGAAAATGAGGCTCCCAGAGTCCCAGAGTGAGAACCGCGAGATCTCCAGAGGGACCAAACGGTCGGTAAGTTTCCTGCAGAG